AAAAAAAAAAAAAAAAAAAAAAAAAAAAAAACACATCATAGTAAAATTAATACCTTCTCCGCTTCGCATCGAAGCTAAAATTATATTAATTAAGTTATTATTATAGCCCTCAAGTATATTAACTATATATATATATATAAAAAAAAAATTTACTGGATCAAGAGTTATTTAAGTTGTCAGTGAATGCTGGGCTATCCTATATATATATATCAAATAATCTTCTTTCTTTTTCTTTTTCCTCTCCTTTTTCTCAATTTCTTGGGGTCAGTCACTCTTATCTTTCCATTTGACACGATCTCCCACATCATCTACGCTCACATCAGTCGTCCATTCTTTGTATTAGTGTTACCTGAATATATTATTTTATAGCCTTCATTCATTTCCCTTGCTTTCTATCTACTTTATCTCACCAGTTGTCCCGTGTATATCAGAGATAGGACATTCTGCCTGAGTTTTGTTCAGGACTCCTCACACTTTTTGGCAAAAATTTTGTACCGACTGTCGACTTGACACAACCTTATTAGACACCTCTTATGACTGGCAAAGGGGCCATAGAAGTATTCTTATCTCCTATTCACTAGGAGTATATACATTAGGGTGGCCCTTAAAAATTGAATGTCTTTTTTTTTTACGCTATCCCTTAATTTTTTTTTAATGGTCAAAAATATGAACTGTGCAAAATTTGGGACCGATCCATAAAGGTTAACCCATGCCCCCGGACATATTAAGTTGAGCTGAAGAGGAAAATTTAATAGAATTTACTAATCTATGTCTCCTAACTTTTTTTTTGCTTAACTTATTAATTTTCATTTAATTTTTTGGGAAACGCTTTTTTGCTTAAAAAAAAATTCTAAAAGTTTAATATTTTATGCCAAGTACTATAATTATACTAGATTTATTAATTTATGGACAGAAAATAAATGTGATTGATTTTATAAAATATTTTACTTGCTATTAACAATTTTTTATTTATTTTGTTTAAAATAATAATAACTTTAAAACAAAATATTTTCTGTTGTTGTTTTTTACAATTAGGAAGTTTTTTCCAATAATCAATTACTATTTGTAAAACGTATTGTTTCTGCTTTTCATTTGTAGTTAATATAATGTTGTAGTCTTCGATTTATTTATTGCTCGGCTGTATCATTAACGATTCTTAATTTGCTTATAGTATTTAAGCATTTATGTAACTATTATTTACAGTCTAAAATGATGGATCATTTTTCAAAAAATCTGTGTTCAGATTAAATAGTTTAAAAAAATCTAACGTTTTGTTTTATACAAAATATTCATTATCATTTTTTACAAAATCGGCTATATCAGATTGTTTAATTTCAAATGTTTTGTTGTCTGACTCAACGTTGAATTAAGATGAGCAATCATTTTTCTTTCAATATTAACATCTATTTTATTATTAAAAAATGCCAGTCCAATGGATTGTGGACTTAAGTACCCTTAAGTAATTTACAAATTTAGAAAGCTCAACTTGGGATTTTTCACTGTCTATTAATCTATAGTTGTATAATTTTTTAACAAAATTCAATCATTATATGATGCTATCACTGCCGAAATTGCTGTAAACCATGATTCATCATAAACTAGTACCAAAAACAAACAAATATTGCGTAATCTTTGTATTTCTCTGCTAATAAGTTTAAATTTGTCTCTAAATATGTATATTTTAAGGCTATAAATCCATCAATAAGCATCTGGCTTATGAAAAAATAGATTATAATGACTCTTTACACCAAAAAATTAATGTTAGCTCGAGGAATGCTTTAAAGTCATTCCTTGACTGTCAAAAATTATTATCTTCTGAAATTCTGGTTCTATAATTTCTTTAATATTACATTAAAAAATATAGGGTTTAAAATTTTCTTTATTGAAATCATTTCAAGCCTCCTGAAATCGCTTGAAAATTGGTATGCCTTACCAGTAGAACAACTAATTTTACTATCGAAAATGCCTCTGTGTATAGAATCAAATATATGGTGGTGGCAAGGTAAATAAAGCAATTCTTTTTCTAAAAGTTATTCCAACAAAACATATGTACCTCCTAAATGACCACTATTTACAGCAGTTGTATAGAAATATAAAGCCTTTATTGATTTATTTATGTTCCATTGGACTAAAGTTTCATATAGCAATAATGCTTTATTTTTAGATAAAATGTAATAATACAATAAATTTTGTTAGGTTTGTAATTAATAATTAATTAACTGTTCATCAAATAATAATAATAAATCTAGTATAATTATCGTACTTGGCATAAAAGATTAAACTTTTAGAATTTTTTTTTAAACAAATAAATGTTTTCTAAAAAATAAAATGAAAATTAGTAAGTAAAAATAAAAAAAATCAGTTATAATATATTTTTAAGACTTTTACATGTTTTTTACTGTATGTAGTGTTTTTGTGGGCTATTTATTAAGAAAACAACATTGAAATTATTATTTTTGATTTTCTTGTAAAATTTTCTTTATTTAAGTATTACTTTCATAATTCTAAGTTAAGCAAAAAAAATTATGAGACATAGATTAGTTATTTCTATTGAATTTGCCTCTTCAACTCAACTTAATAGGCCCTGGGGCCTATTAAAATGTAATATTTTAATTTTATTTTGAGATATCTCAAAAATTAATAAAATTTATTCTGTTTAAAAGAAAATTCACAAATAAAAATTATACACGCCATTTTATCAAAAACTTAACTAAATTTATTCAATTTTTTTGTTAAAATTTTCTTCTTGAGTATTATCACATAGTTATACTTTTTTTTCCTATGACTATAAGGTTTATAGTGACCTCAAAAAGATGGGTTTCTTAACTATTAATACTCTCTGAGACAGGAGGTTAGTCTGTTGCTGGAAATGATGGACTAACAGTTAAATTACTTATCTAATGAATTTTATCTTCATATTTTAGTGGCGCAGTTGCTTTGGATGGTAGAATTGAACCTGGTGATATGATACTTCAAGTCAATGATATAAATTTTGAAAATATGTCTAATGATCAAGCTGTTCGTGTATTAAGGGATGTTGTTCAGACTCCTGGGTAAGTTTGTTATAGCATTTATTTGTGTATTTTTATATTGTTAAAATTAAGTTTAGTAGCTATAGAGTTTAGTTCTTAAGAATATTTCCACTAAAAAAAGGAAGAAATTATAATAAATTTTATTATTTTAAGGCCTATAAAATTAGTTGTTGCAAAATGTTGGGATCCTAACCCTAAATCGTATTTTACCATTCCAAGAACAGAACCTGTTAGACCTATTGATCCTGGTGCTTGGGTTGCACATACAGCTGCTATGAGAGGTAATATTTTTATATTTTTATATTCATATATTTATTTTCTATACAAAGTGTGCACTTAACAAATATATTAATTTTATTTGAAGTTAAGCATACAACTTTTTTTTAAATATTTTTTAAGTGCAAATTTGTTGAGGAATATTTTGTTTTAAGGTTATAAATTAAACATTTTTTATTTAAAATTTATTAGGTGAAACATATCCATTACGACCTCCTTCAGTATCAACAGTTACATCTACTAGCTCATCCCTTGTATCAACTATGGCTGAAACTGAAAGTAAGATTTATAATTGAATTCAACATTAAATATTTCATGTAAACGTTTATTTTAGTAGCTAAAAATTATATTGCTCTTTGATGATACCATTTTATATTAGGATTTTAGTTGTTATCCCGATAATTTTAATATGTTTATTGTAAATATTTCTAAGCTATAATAAAAATTATACAAAAAATTGTTTACAGTAAATGCTGCATCAACAAGTAATTTTAAAGATCTACAGCTAGATGTGCGCAATACAGATATGCTGAGTATTGTAAGAGCTATGGCTAGACTTGACTCAGGATTGGAAATAAGAGATAGAATGTGGCTTAAAATTGTTATACCTAATTCATTTATTGGTTAGTTTTGTATTAAAATTTTAAAATTTTTATTTCTATGATTTTAGTTAATTATTTTACTATATATTAATATGTTTAATATTGTATTTAAGGTGTTGATGTCGTTGAGTGGCTTGAGACACATGTTGAAGGTTTTCAAGATCGTAGAGATGCTAGAAAGTATGCATCACATATGCTTAAAGCTGGATACATTAAACATACAGTTAATAAATCTACATTTTCCGAACAATGTTATTATGTATTTGGAGATTTATTAACAGCAGGTGTGTAAAAAATAACAAACAATAGTTTTAAATTTATTATTTTATAATCTTAAACTTATTGACTAATCGATATAAATAGGTATGGATCAAATGAAAATTGATGGAGATTCCAATGATAATACAGGCACTGGTAGTCGTGGTGCATGGGAAATGCCTTATTCAGGAACATTCCATCCAACTTCTCCTCCAATGCCATTTAATTATTCTGGTGAACCACCCCGATATTTGTTTGATAAGGATGAAAGTGGTTCAGGTAAATGTTTTTTTTTATGTAAAAACATCTTATGCAGGCTTAAACATTTCTGTTTTGGGGGTCAACATTTTCGAGCATTACTTTTTTTATGTTACACTCTATAATCCCTATTCAATCCGACCAGAGGTTTATCACAAACATTATACAAAACTTGCCAAAGTTATCCTTGAAGTTATCCTCTGTGTATGACATTAGTCTTATTAAATTAATTTATACTTTATATTATTATTAATTAGTTAATAAAGATTACTATAACAAGATTTAAATCTGGTTAGCTTAAAAAAATGTGTAAGCACATATTTTTATTTGAGAATATTTGTTACTAAATCTATGTTGATAGGTTCAAATATAAGTTTTAAAAAATTCTTAGATTTGTTACTCAAATTTTTTACTATAGCTTCATGTTAAAACTTATAATTTTTTTTTAATTCCTTTTAAATTGATTTTATACAAATTATAAATACAAATTTTATTAAAAATAATGATTAGTTATACATTTTATAACAAATTAGAAGTATGCAGATTAGTTAAAATCAAATTATTGAAGTGTTATAATTTGTACAACAAGTTAATTTATAAAAAATTATAATTTAATTTTTTTGAATTTAAATAGTTGGTTATTGTTTTTAGCAGTATTTTTTTTTATTAATTTAAGGTGGTAGTAGATCTGGATCTGATATCATGAAACAAAATATAATGGGCCTTGTTATGGCTGACCATAGTGGTGGTACAAACCAATCTATTCCTGCAGTTGCTCCAACACCAGTAGATAAATCCAGTGGATCTGAAAAATCCCAAGTTATAGCGCCTACTAATAATGTAGCAACAGATTTATCTGCGAGCCAACAATCATTTCATATGGCCATGGGTAACCCTTGTGAGTTTTTTGTAGATGTAATGTAAATTTAAAATTAAATAGTGTAAAAAGTAATACTAATATGTAAGAAGGTTTTATACTATTTATATTGGTTTCCTTATTAATTGTTATACATTTTTTTTTTTTGTTAATTATAACTGACTTCTAATATTTTTTTATGGAATTTAGTAAATTATTCTTCTAATATGCATCAGAACCATTTTCTTGTTTAGATAAAATATCATTGATGTTATTTTGAATGGGAACCATTTAGTGTTTAGAAAAAAAAACATAAAATTAATATTTATACGAGTATTTTTCTATCCGTACAATTTTTAGGTAAAAATGATACATTTCACATCTTTAAATTTACTATGTCTTATAAATATGACTTAATATCATGAAATATTGTCATGAAATGTTCTAAAAGATTACTTAATTAAATTTTGTTTGAGAAGTAAATTTTACAGAAAGTTTTATAATAGTGAATATTTTTGTTGCTTTTTTCAATTAAAATAATTCTTCAATTTTTATAAATATATGTGTAAACATTTCATTTTAATTCATTATTTTTGTTATCAAGTTTTTTTTTGTAATTATTTCAATTATACATAATTATTATTAATGTATATTTGGTTATTTTAAATAGTATTATCTGTAAAATATTTTCTTTGTTTATTATTCCTTCTTTAAAATTTCTATTATAAGTATAACTTTCTTGAATAATCTTACATATTTAACCTGTATATTACATTTTTTACAAAAAAAAAAATTGTAATATTACATTTTAAGTAAAAAATTTCATAAAATATAAAATATAATTTATAAATTTATTTTAAATTCAACCAAAATTTTATGTGTTTAAATTTGAATATATACAGGATGATTCACAATACTTTGACAAAACAAATAACTTTTAGAACATTTTAAAACAGCCATGTTTAATAATAAGTTATAAGCATTTTAAATACATAGAGTAGGTGTGTAGTATATGTAGGTACATCTCATACTAGTGTACATTTATAACATAAACCGCGCTATACCCAATTTATGTATTAAAATGCTTTTAACTCAATAAGTACTTACACTAAAGTTGTCATCAACTCATAAAAAAATTTTTGTCAGAAAGCTTTAGCTACTTTAAAATTTCAAAATAAACATAACATATTTTTTCTTATTAAAAATTAATAATAAAAAAATTGCTTCTAATGTAATACAATATCAAAAAACATATTTTTTAGAACTATAGTAAAATGTCAGTAAATCTTTAAATAACAGATTTGTCAAAAACATTATGGACCACTCAGTATGTTTAAATTGTTGCTCAATTTACATTTGAAATATTTATATTTAAATAAAAATCTTATAATTATATTTAAAACTTTAAACTAAATGTATTATTATTTTTTACCTAAGTTTTTTATAGAAATACAAATATAAATCATTTAAAGGACAAATTATTAAATTCATTTTTTTAATTTGTTTTTATGTATGAAAATTAATATTTCTTAGGTATAGTTTGAACAATTGAATAAAATATATTTTTTTATTTTTTTAAATTATGAAAAACAATATTTTAACAGATAATTTAACTAAATTCTTCAATTAACTGTCATTTTATATGAAAGTATTCTATTAAATCTATCTTACTTTTAGTTTAAAAACTAATAATCTAAGTTGCCATATCTCTTTGTATGTATATATTTCCTTTAGTTAAATTTTTTACTTATTATAATTACTTTTAGTTATACTATTAAATTTATTGCAAATTTTTTTTATAGATTTGAAGAACCTAAATATTTTAGGTTTATTAATTAAAATGTATTAGAAATATTTGTGCAAAATTCAAAATACCATAGTTAAATATTTTTAGATGAGCAAGCTTAAAAAATTTTACTTGTTAATGTTAATTGTGTAATGATAATTTGTCTTGAAAAAATTATATATCATATTAATGTATTGTTTCTTGTACAACTGCAGTACTCTAATTCCTTTTATGAATTCAATTTTATAATGTTATTAGAAATGTGCTAAATTACACATCGTATTATTATACATTTATACTTAATAATTACCTAATTAAAAAAAAAATGGCTTAACCATCATTATACTTCTTTCTTTTTATAATATTCTACTTAAATTGTCAAGAAAAATCAATTTATCATTTTATTCAGTTATTTATTATTATTATTATTATTATTGATGTATAAAATTTTATATTGTTAGACATTGTGTTTTTTTTTTTAAATATATTACTTTTATGACGTATGACTGTGATAATATAATCCTAACGCAGCTTTTAATTTGGTGAGTTGCTTTAATTATGTATTTGTATTACTTTTTAATATATAACATTTTCTGTTTTTATACAGGGTAAAAATAATAATTGTATACGTTGTGTGTTGTATAATAAAATGTAACTTAATGTAATTATGATATAATCAAAACTATGTTGACTAAAAATTTACCTTAAAGAATATAAATTGCATGCTAAATTTTTATTCTTGCAGCCTGTGTGACATATAGTAACATTAACTTAAATTGTACCTAATTATAATCTAACAAAAATATAGTATCTAGTGGAAAATTTAATAAAAATTTAGAGTAGTTAAAATTTTGTTCATTTGTACTTTGAAAATTTTTTCATTGATAAATATTAATAAAATTTAATTATGTAAAAATTAAATGAAAGTTTTGTATTTTTCAATTTTTATTGTAAAATTAATTTTATAGAGTAAGTAAAAGTGATTACAATGGTATAGTGGTTTAAATAAAATATTAATTATAATATAGAGGTGTCATTTAAATTTTTTATTTTATTACACATATTGTGGCAGAGAGCTGGTAAATGTTAAAGGGCGAGAAAGATTACTTTGGACAGCAATTCTTAATCAAAGTTAAGAATATTTAAATTTTGATTTCACAAAACTCTATAACATAAACTTAAGCTAATTAAAATTATGCTAATTGATGAAATTTTGTGAAAATTGTGAATTTGAAACTTTTCTAGGCAAGTTTATTTTATCAAGTAAATTAAGTAGCCAGGATCTCAAAACTATAATTGAAATCGGGTTAGAGAAATTAATAGTTTAATAAAATAAAGGTATTTTTAACAAATGTAATATGGAGCTATTGTAGTATCATTTTATCAGTATTATCTCGATGTAATGATATTTATACATAAAACGATAAAAAATATATGATGATTTTTGATTGAAGACTGCATTGAAATTGAACAATTTTTAATGCACCAATACCTTATATAAACTATATTATACGTTATATGATTAAAAAGGTTATACTACTCATTTTTAACAATATGTAGTCACAGAATAGACAAAATTACCAATTCTGTAATAAAAATAACGACGACAACATTGCTATCTATTTTATAGAATTAGGTTGGTTAGAACTAAGGTTTATAGATTATTATCTTTAAACTACGAGTTACAAATGTTTCAATAATTTTAATAAGAATACTTCTATGGCCCCTTTGCCAGTCGTAAGAGGCGTCTAATAAGGTTGTGTCAAGTCGACAATCGGTATAAAATGTTTGCCAAAAAGTGTGAGGAGTCCTGAACAAAACTCAGGCAGAATGTCCTATCTCCGATTTACGCGGGACAACGGGTGAGAGGAAATAAAGTAGCTAGAAAGCAAGAGAAATGAATGAAGGCTATAAAATAATATATTCAGGTAAAACTAATACAAAGAATGGTTTAGGGATAATAATGGACGAGAAGATAAAAAGTAAAGTAGTAGAAGTAAATACTAACGTACATCAATCAACTATACTTTTATTAGAGTGACACGATAATTAGAATTGTTCGATTGGCAGGCGCGAGAACATTATCAAATATATACAATAGTAGTATTTTTTCGTAGGAAGTATTGTTAGCTCCAATATATATTGTTAAAATAACCTTTGACCATATCAACATGTTAAGATAAGTGGCAGAATTATAATCACAAAATTATTTTTTGAGGAAAATGTGTTAAATGTGGTTAGTGCCTATGATGAAACAGACAAGGAAGTGTTTTGGAGAGAGATGGAGATGTTGAGATGGATGAAGTGATGCAAGAAATATCTGGTAATGAGGGTACGGTGATAGGCGGAGATATAAATGGGCATGTAATTAATGAGAGAAAAGGATATGAAAGAGTACATGGAGGGTATGATTTTAGTGGGAAGAATGAGGCTGGAGAAAGAATCCTGGATTTCGCAGTATCTATTATCTTGTTATAGTAAATACTTATTTTAGAAAAAGGGAAGAACATTAAATAACTTATAAAAGAACATAGATTGATTAATTTATGTAGAAAAGAGAGAATGTAAAAGATTGTAAAGTTATCGATGGTAATGACGATGATGTAAGACACAGGATTAAGCGGGGATAGGTGAAATGGAAAGAAGCGTCTGGTGTATTATGTGATAAGAGAATTCCAATGAGACTGAAAGGTAAGTTCTATAAGACTATAGTGAGATCAGCTATGATGAATGTTTCAAAGTGTTGAACTGTTGACAAGTAAGCAGAGATGATAATGTTTAAATTGATGAGTGGAGTAACTAGAGAAGATAGGATTAGTAACGAACATATAATGGTTATATTATATGTTATTTATAGTATTTTGAACTTAAATGTTAATTTATTTGTATTATAAAAATACACTAACAATGCATTTAGTATAAATGTGTCTCTGTCCAAAATAACAACATTTATAACTTATAATAAAACTATCATTTTGGTGATTTTTTTAAAAATAATTATTACCTTTTTAGACTGCGTTTTATTATTATTTTTATTATTTATGAATTATAAATTTTTACTAATGGGGAAAAAACAAATTTTTTTATTACATTTTTTTTTTATTAGTGAAAAATAAACTTGAAACGTAGTCTGAGACGGTAATAATTATTATAAAAAAAAAAAAAAAATTAAATAATAATTGTATCAAAAGTTACAAGTGTTGTTAGCTAAATCTGAGACATTCAATATATAATTATATAAAAGCATTACAGTTAGTTATTATCGAAGTGGATATAATGCCCATGCACTCAGACCTGTTGATCCATTGTGCGCAAAGCATTACAGTTACTTAGTTATTACACACAATTTAATTATGTCATTACTTAAAAGTAATGTACAGTAATGATCCAACAAAGTGGAGTTGAGGCATGTTTTAGATCAGTATTAATCTGACAGTGAATAAACGAATGTCGTAGAATGTTTCGATGCGTATTTGAAACAGATATAAAAAATATTCATATTTTCACCAAAAATTACACATACTTTGTAGATGTTTTGTTGTTATGCAAAATACTTCAAAATCGGCTATTTTTATTGAAGATTGGCTTCAATTACACGATAATTCTTAGAAATGAAGTTTTCGGTTAATACTACCCACCTTATATCTAAATAAATCGTATAATCATTAAAAGAGGATATAGTGAAAATCTAATTTATATATCATTTAAGAAAATCTTTATAAAAACTAATTTTTTTCAATTTTTACCTCGCATTTTTTTTTATTTTAGTGGAATTTTATCAAATAATTCATTGACAGAATTTGAAATTTTTATTAAACTATGAAAATTAAATTTCAATAATCATAATACTTTAGGATAGCTCAAAACACTGTCTTTAAGATATCATTATTTAATCCTTATTATTACTAAATTATGAGTAAATTAAAAATTTCATTATTTTTTGATTTTGTCAATGAATACAATAAAAACCAATAGAATCATGTACGTGTTTTATTTAATCAGTATAAATTTTATTGTTAATAATTTTGAATTTAAACCCGTTTTCAAAAACGTAATTTATCAGATTTTTCATTTTCACTTTTCGAAAAAATTAAGTTTTTTTAAATATGTGTTGAAAAATATTCAATACATATTAAATATATATTAAAAAGTCTCACAGAGTGAGAATCTTGAGTAATGTCGAATATTTTGTGTATTTTTAAATTACCAAAAGAACTGAATTTAATAAGAAAAAATTGGTTTTTAGAGGAGGGTAGTGTAGCGATCCCTAACTTGATATTAGAAGCTGGATATCTTAATTAATTGTTAAATGATTGGCTGAACTTAAATGAGAATCTATATATAGGTGTTACTTTAATTCTGTACAATAATCAGATTTTATCTCCTAGTTAACTGGCTATTTTGTGTTCTAAAGAAGGGAACCCCGTTTTGGTGATGTAGTAATTTCATAATATGTGACATACATGTACCAATTATAACATTAAATGCTAATATTATAAGTGATTACATAATATTACAGTTAAACTAAAATAGTCAAATTTTTATGAGAAGTTTTCAAGATATTTTTCAAGTGTATAATTTAAAACTTTAATATTAAATTTTTTATTAATATCAAATATATAATTTGAAGTCAACTTTCTAAAAAGTAGATAAGGTCATTTATGTACTTATAATCTATATTATAAAATGAAATTGGTTGTATAAAAATACAATTTTTATGTTTCAACAAGTTTGTAAACAAAGCTAGTTTTAATTAGGCCTAATTCGAATTGCATTCTGGAGACGGCTTCTAATTGGTTGATCTTTTGAAGTCCTCTTTTCATATTCATCAACAGGAACTAAAATAATTAAAATAATGTGTGAATAATTTGTAAATTTGTGAATATTGCATATAGTAAAAATGAGTAATATTTTACTTAGAGTTCCTTCAATAAAGTTCGTTATATTTTATTTTAGATTTTTAAATAATGATTAAAGAAATTATAGAACAAGGATGCCATTATTCTTCATTTTTATATGATATTTACATATTAACATGTGCACAAATAATTGGGGAGGTTTTGGCATGTATAAAAAAACAGATTGTAACTAAACTGTTTTAAAGGCTATTAGTAATTACAGGGCTCTAAATAATCAATCTAAAACCACTTTCTTTGTAATCTAACATATATAAATTACTTTTTATTTTGTAATTCTAAATTGAAAAACAAGAAAATCGAAACTTTATATAATTTATTATTTATTTAATATTTATGCAATACATACGTATATCTGTATAAGCTTTAACATCAGCTCCACATTCATCACAATGGTTAAATTGTCTTTTAGGCAACCTTCTCAAAGCGCAACCATGACCAATGCGGTGAGGACAATTTCCTTTAAATAAAATTCTAGTACATGTGGCTATTTCTTTATTACATTCACACAGTTTAAGAGGTTCTGTCGAATAAAATATTAATTTAAATATCAAAAGATATTTTATTTTTTCATGGTCGACTTAAGCTAAATTATATTCTATAAAATGTAATGGTTTTATATCATAATCTCCTTAAAATAGAATAAATTAGAGTAAGTCTTAGACTCTCCACAATAATCTTCTTTTAATAGATAAAAACTGATATTTGATTTGTATAAATAATAATAATATTAAGTAAACATTCCCCAAATAAGGACGCATAAAAAGCACTGGTCTATAAAATAAAACTTTTTTAAACATCAAAGACCAGCATAAACTTTTTTGTACCAATTTTTCACGTTTATTTCAAATCTGTAATTAAATTTTTCCTATCACCTCTAGTTTTTGAGATAATTTTTATTATTATTGATTTTGCTTTTAATGTTATAAAAATTATCTGTACGAAATTTCTATTCAAAATATCATGTTTAACCAATAAAAGAATTGGTTGTTTAAAAATGATTTTTACTATGAAAAAAGTTTACAATAAATAATGTTAAACTTTTTACCATAACTTTCTTTGGCTCATTTTGACATTTTAAAACTGATATCATTAAATAGGAATTTTTATGAAGGTTTATAAAATGATATTTTGATTGCTAGATGGTCAGGAACTTATGAGAAGAAACTTACTTTTAAATATGAACTTACTCCTATATAATTACTATTATTTCTAAATTTAGAAGAAAAGCTCAAAATTTCGTTTCTATCATCATTTTTTTGCATTCATATCGTAATAAATAATTTCAAAAGAAATCATAGTAGTTATTTCTATATAACTCTCGGTATTTTAAAAGCTGTTTTAATTAAAATATTCAGATATTAATTAACTTTTTAATTATTAAAATAAAAAAAATATTTAAATTTAAATATTTACTTTATATTTAATTTATACTGTACATGATACCCTCTAATCAAAAATCTTAGCTACACAACTGTCTAATGTTAAAACATAAAAATAATATTTAAATAAATATAAGAATTATATAAGTTTGTGATCACAATTCTAACTAAACAATACCATTTTTAAATCATAATAAAATTTCCTATTTAATGATACCAGTATTAAAATTTCAAAATTAGCCAAAGAAAGTTATGTTAAAATGTTCATATTTTTTTAATATAGACTTTCGTAAAAATTAGCTTTGAAGAACTAAATAAACAGTTTAAACATGATATTTTGGATCAATATTTCACCCGGATTATTGTTAACGTATTAAAAAAGTTGGATAAAAATTTTATTTTAGTATATCTCATCAAATTGTATTGAAATTTCACTGGGAGTCTCGTGATGTTAATTTTTATTTTAGACGATAACATAACGAGAAAAACCGGAAAACCCACTGATAATTTGATATTTTTTTAATTTAACGAGTTTATTTTGTCTTTTATAATTTATTTAAACCAATTATAATTTTTCATTAAAACTAGTCCTAAAACTTTAAACTACTAAAATTATATATATTTTTTATTTTTTAAGTCAGGAAAGTAAATAAATCACAAGATTAAAATGAACATTTTAAACTATATTATTATAGCATAAAATTTGATTACTATTAAATAATCACTAAGTAAATTGTAAAAAATATAAGGTAAATAAATTATTGCTTATCATTTTATGTTAAAAAAAACGAAAACGAATAACCAACAGTAAAAAAATGCATGACCTGCAGTGTAAATATTCTTAATTTTCGTTACTTTCATAAATATGTAACTTGAATTTACACTATTTTAATTACAAAACCACTAAAATTAAAGCATTTTTAAGTTGTTTTGTGTTATAAAAGTTTAAGTAAAAAATCTTATGAACTGCATTTTCATTTTAATATCATATTGAACTAAATTTAGTCATATTTCAAATACTACTAAATTTTAAAGACAGCGCACTGAAAAAAATGTACCACAACTTTAAGTAATTTAAGTAATTGAAAAATTATTATCTAAAAATAAACTATACCTCGCTACTCCCAATAATATTTCAATACAATTTTATGGCACATCAAGTAGGGTGGTCCTTATTTATATAGGTAGACAATGTTTTTAATAATTTTTATACAGTATCCTCTAGATTAATTCAGTTCTATGAGAAAATAATGTAAGCAAAATTTGGATGGTTTCACTCAACCCCTTCTGGTGCTGTGTTGGGGTTGAAATATCATAATTGAGGGTAGTTCACCACAAGCGCCGCGATTTCAAACAAATTCAATTTTACAACTCTTAAATTATAATATAAAACTCTTTTTAAAACAATTTTTTATAGAGAGCAATTTACTTCCAGTAATTTGATAGTTCATAGGTCCTACTAGATAAACTTCTTTTCGTGGTATATTTAAACAAGTAGAATAAAAAATAAAAAAGCTATTCACTATATTGTTATTTAAAAAAAACTAAAAACTTGATACATTAATAAGTAATAATGGGAGTATTGAATATTAAGCATTAATACATTTTTGAAAAATTACTTTTATTATTACGTATTACTACCCAAATCAAAATAATGTCAGCCATTCTTATTTTCAACAAATAACCATTTTGTTGAAGGGTCACACTTAAGTGAAATTTTATTTAACTTTGAGTCCTAAGTTTGGAGGAGTGGGACAAAATTTACAAAAAGTCGAGGAACTTCTCAATTTGTATGTGAAATATAGTAATGATGTTTATGATTGATTTAAATAAAATTTGTAGTGTAAACCAGTATAACTACAATATTGGAGATAGGAAATTTTAGTTTTCGACTTCGCTAATTTTAGACCCTACTTAATATATCCTTACTACTTGTGATATAAATTTAACCAACACCATGTATATTAATGCACTGGAAAAGTATTAAATAATTAGCCTATAGTATAGCTGTAAAATAAACAATTTTTCAAATTTTTACAAATAGTTCAAACGATTTTGAATTATAAATTCAGTTCTAAATTAAAAGTAAATTTTTTTCTATTATTATGTGTATGTAATTTAAAACAATAATCAACTCAGCAATTTTATGAAATTAATAATTTTATTACTTTTGTTTAAAGATGGAAAATTAAAAAAATAACTTACTTATACCTATTAACTCAATAAATGGTACCTCACATATTGGACAAAAATGACAATTGAAAAGTCGTAATAAGTTAGCACAGTAATTACAAATATGGTGTTTGCAGCCAACAAATGAAACCGTTGGTGGATCAAATGCGCATACTTTACATACATCGTCAGGACCTATTGAAACAATGATTTAATTAGAAACAAAATAATTTCATAAAAATATTAATATAAATATGCATAGTGTATTGAAACAGTTTTAAGGTGTGTAAAAATAGCAAAATCATTGCATAGTCACTGTGTAAGTAAATTTACTTAATTCCTCATTCACAAATTTCCCATCTTAATAAAGTGGTACTTCATTCAAAATTGTTGCGAGTATACCACAACACGATAGGAGTTTTACAGTGCATTAAAAGAAGACAGATTTGTAACAACTTATTGGAATAACGTAAGTTTCCCGATATATCGCAAGTAATGAAACGAGATATATTAAATACATCAAAGATATATGTTTTATTAAAGAAGATAACAAATATAATACTATAGACAAAGGAACGTTAAAAAAAAAATACGTCCTCTATCTCTTTGCGGTCTTACTTTCTTAATGTTTATGACTTTCATTCAACCTTGTTATATTATCAGGTGGCTTGTGGAAACATTTTTTTGCTCAAGTTACGGAAAAGATAAAACCAAGGATTCGATAATTACTTGAAAATTTTTATTTATTTAGAACTACGACTCTTGACAATATTATTAGAGACGTGTTGATATATAGTTCAGTATTAAATGAAATGTTTGTTGTTAAAACTAATTATATATTTTTATTTATATCATAATAGGTTTAAATTTATTTCTAAATGAATAAATTCTTCTCGAATTATTAACTGTTTACAAAATATTGGACAAATTTATTAAGTTTTATAATATAAAAATCTAACTGTTGATAAATCAATTACATCAGTTTTACAGGAAAGCAAAAATAAATAGAAAATGTCAGTGGTGTCTTATATAAGTATACATTAAAAAATTGTAAAAAACAAAGCTATATAATAAAATTAACCTTAAATGTTTGGCATATGGTAGACAAAATTACTATTTATAAAGAATAATGTTTGTATAAATACAAATTATAAAGAATATCAAAGACAATTTTTTTGAATACTATTATTTAATAGATTTTCAAATAATCGATTATTAATTTTAAAACATTTTAACTAAATTTTAGCAATAAAAGTTAAATTTTTTCTAAGTAAAAAAATTTTACATTACTTTTGACCTGAAGTACGAAATTGTCTTCTATTGACATTGTACTCTGAGTATTGTTTACCTGTAGTACTAAAGTCATAAATTTATTTAATTATATGATTTATTATGTATCTAATAAATGTTTCAAAAATAAAAATATATTTTCAAACCTAGCCACTTCATAATTTTTAAGATTAAATACTACTTTTGAAATACTTCAAGTAAATTATTTTTTCATTTAAAACTACATCCCTTTGAAGTATAACTTTAAAGTAAGTGTGACGCATTCAATAATTATTAATTTATTATAATTGTTATAAAAAGAACTACTAAATAACTAAATTATAAATAAATGATTAATTTTACAAGTGAATTTACTTTTGTGTCCAAATTTCACAATCATTTATAATTAGACTAGAATAACTAATTTATTTTTTATATAAAATTCTAAAATTAGAAATGGTGTCCAAACTATTTGGTTTTAAAATGAAACATATTAGTTAATTTAATACACATATATTTTTCTAAATTGACAATTTGGGTTAGGCTACCTTTATTCAGATTTTCTAAGCTGATTCAATATTAACATCAGAGATTAAAAATTTCTAAATAAACTTGAGATAACATTATATCTCCATTTTGTATCCAATTCTCACTCATAATTATTAATATATAGAATTAGTTTTATTTATACATATATATATAAATAAGTACTAACTAAGAAATAAAAAATAATAAAGTACTTAGGAGACGAAATACACGTTTTTTGATACGATTTTCTAAAAAATGTCGAAAATAATTGTATCTAGACATTGTGTTTAAAAAATATTTTGGATGTAGAATTTATATTGAAATTAACAAGAAGAATGAAAACTATAAGTAATTTATATTTTTATTATAAGTATAGATTTTTTGTTTTACATGTATATTTTTATATTTTTAAAGTAATTTAATTGGCATTAAACATATACAAGGAACATATACTTATATTTAACAATAGCTATCATTCACATGATTTGATTACATTGGTAATTTGGATTTAATTAATTATGAAGGAGTAGGATGAGTTTTTATAAAATATCAAAGAGTAGTTTTTATTATAGAAAATATTTTTATGACATTTTTAAATTCTCAACTGATGGATAACCAAATGTAGACGGTTAATTTTATAATTTTAGTTTGCCAAAAAGTATAGTTGATTATTATAATTAATAATAATTATTTATAAATATTTGATATTACCTTTGACAACACCCAAAAATATACTTAATACTATACATTCTAAAAGAAATATGCTGTACTGAAACATAAATATTGATTATCAATTGAAATAATTTTGAAAGACAAAATTAATCGATTAATATAAATTATTTTATTATAGGAAGATTTTTTACTTTATGGCAAAGAAATATTATTAAAATAAATCAGTTATAAATACCATTGCGTTAATAATATATCAGTTGTTTAAACAATCATATTATTTTTTAATATTTCAATATTTGAGGAAACTTAATGAATTATAGTTTATACGTATATCATTACACAAACAAAATGTAGTTTATTTTTAAAAAATAAAAATAAAATCACCATTCTAAATTTTAGATGTTTGTTCAACTATTCGATAGTTCACTAAATTTATTTTAATAAAACTTTAAAACATCATAAAAACAAATTTTTATTAAAAAATAAAAATATGTATAAAATTTGAAGTTTGCATTAAATCATTCAAAATTTTGAAAATGTTATTTTTAATTTTACCTTTTATTTTCTTTTATACTTTAAATTAGCGAAAAATTATACTATTGAGTTAATATTCATAAATCGTTAAGCTGAAATAAATTAATAAAGTTCTTTAATTAAATCAAATTGTTTGTGTATATATTTTAAATAGAAAAATATGATACTATTGATAAAAAAGCGTTAGAAAAAAAAACGTACTTAATCTCTATTGTGATATAATTTTCTTAAAGCTTAGTTCAACCCTGTCATATTATCAGGGGGAATGTGGAAAAAGTTTTTTGTTCAAGTTGAGGAAAAATTAGACAAGGAATCGATAATCACTTGGCAATCTATATTTATTTGGAACTATTAGCTCTTGATAATCTTACAGCTAAAGTAATGAAATGTAGTTACTTTATATTTAAAAATATAATAAAATAATATTATTTTCTACAAATATTTTATACAATTTTTAAAATAATTTATTAAAATATTAAGCACACTTAATATGAATAAATTACAGTGGTAAAATTTAATTTTTAATTTGTATTAATTTGTGTATGGTTTTTCGAGTAATATGACTTGTCGACAACGCTTGTAAAAATCATACCACTGATTGAAATGATGCTGTAGTCTTATTGATGCCCAACAACCATAGATGAAATTTCCAGTCAATATTAATGACAAAGACACGAATGATAAAAATCGATTTGTAGAGCTATCATAGTACTATACATTGAAAATTGTTATTAATCACTATTAATCGATATAAATCATTAATTGTTATAATTTTTTTGTAATTTATATGAACTATAAATAGTTTTGGCAACATTATCTATTATGAATTATGTTAAAGAGTTTTGATGAAAACATAAATAAAAATTACGATTTACCGCTGGCTCTCGAGTTTCATCAAATATTATTCCATTTATTAATACTCCTGCACATGTAACGAGTGTAAGAATTGGAGTAATGATAATAAAATAACATGCTTCGTATAAGAATTCATTTGCTTCGTCTTCCGTCTCTGAATCATTAAACCACTCTTTAATAGATCCTAATAATGAATATCTACAAAAAATATGAATTTTCATATTTGAATTTATTTAGATTTAAAAATTTCAAGGATTATTACGTTGCTACTCGTTTGATTTCAAACTGGTAAAAGCATATTTCGCACGAATCGGAATTAGAGTAAGCTAACCATTTCTCCAAACAGGATTTATGAACTTTAGACATTGAGCCATAACATAAACAAGGAGAAATACACTTATTTATATACTCGGAATCCGGCTGTAGACAAATTCTGCAAAGTCCTGGTGTAACTGTAACAAAGTCATAAATCTATTTATCAACAATACAAATATCTCTGGTATATATACAGTGTATTTCAGCCAATAAAACATTTGGATTGTATTATTTTGGTATTAATATAATATTATATTAATTTGGCGTTACGGTTTCAAAAAAATTATGCGATTTCATATGGTACCCCTTCTGTCTAGCCGAGAAAATGAATTGAAAATAATATTTTCTTTTTTTTTCTATAATTAAAATATTGACATTTTTATGCAAAGTCGCTTAAGTTAAAATAAAAATTTTTAGGTTTTTTCCCTCAAAAAAAAAAAAAAAAATATATATAAACATTAAATGTGGGCGTATATTTTAAGTGTTTTTAGAATAAACATTTTTTCTCGAGATAATGGATTATTCTTAAACTCATTCTATTGTAATCAATTGAATATTGTCATAACGTTACTATTCTATTTTTGTATACACAAAAATGAAATACCTTTTTTCATATTGAAAAATATCAAGAGATAGAGTTACGTAGTTATTCTACTAAGGTGCTGACCATATACTCTGAAATACACTTAAAATTTTCATAAAATTTATAGTCACGTGGAAGTTTAGTTAGCGAGTTCAATGACTTTTTTTTTTCGAATTTATTATTGCTTATTGCTATGACAAGGTTTTTTATGGTTGTCGTGTCACATTTGTCGTCTCCTAAGACACTAGAGTAAGAACTGCGTCCAGAAATGTCCGTTATTTCTACATAAATATAATAATAACACTTTTCTCAAATACAAATTTTTAACTTTTGGAATAATCTTACCAGAACGCTCGTTTTGTGTGTCGTTTGAATTTTCCATAAGTGATACTCAAATAAAAGGAGTCGTGCTCTTAAATATTTGTACGCTTATTTATAATAACGTTATACAAATTATTTATTATATATGATAAAACGTATCTTATAACTATCTGTGTGTTTTAATTTATTTAATAAATTTTAATAGACAGATAGTTATTTATTTATTTGAGATTCTTGTTATTATAGAAACTGAATTTGTAATTTAGAATAATAATTTTAAACTAATGAAAAAAGTTCAAGGGAAAAACAATTCGTGATGAATTTTGGTAAGTATAACATTTTAAATTAATGTAATTTATTTTCCTTATTAAATAAGCAAACCTATTTTACAATTTTTGTAAAATAGGTTTATATCGAATTGAAGTATAAATTCTAATTTAGATTGTGATTTATTGGCGTCCAGACTATCAATTATGATGTGAGCTTTCTATAAATGATATTTACTCGAGGGGTAGAATGTGTATATGGTAATGCATATATATACTTCGCTCGACAGGTGATGATAGTAGTAGAAACATGAACATATACGGGCGTTTTCTGTTAGGGACCGGCGCAGAAACTCTTAAGAATATCGACCACTGGTATGTTGATGACGACATTTTCATTCCTCCCATACATTTCAAATCCACCCCATTCAATTTTGATAGTGGTAAATACACAGACTCACATATATATCTAAAATCTATATGCAACCTTTGAGGGTGTCAAATAATAGTCAGAGCATTCACAACGTAAGTATTCGTACACCGGGACAGTACTGCTGTTTCGTTGCTGTCAAACGCTGAAAACACTTCATAATGAACTTGTTGACAACGGTTTTGCTGTTGTTTGTGGTTGTAGCTCAACTGGCGTCTGCCGTACCCACACCTGGAAAAACAGATGCTGCAAAAATTCAAAAGAACTTATCGAAAAATAAAGGTAAAGTTCAGTGCGCTGCACTACTGCGTTTGATATAACTAACCACCTGTATGCGTATCATCTAAACCCACGCGTTTAATTTTTATACAGCCAAAAAAACTCAAGAAGTGCTACAATTCGGAAACCAGCAGAATCGTCAAACTGATACCAGAAACTTTGCAAGAACTGAAAAAAGACGTAAGGATTTATTTAATAATTAATATTAATCATTATAATTAATTATTTAATAATGTTTAAATACTATACATCTTTTACACCTTATATAGGGCTTAGAGAGCCGTTGTTACTTTCTTTTAAAGATGAGATTTCTAAAAACCTAGTTCAGATAATAGTATAAAAATGTATACATTACTGAACTTTAATATTTTTTTGATTATTTTTCATTTTGTCTACAGAAGCACCCGATGATCACCATGATCCAGAACCAGTACCTGAAGTAAATAATGCTCTTGAACATTATCCACAATCTCCTAGACATGAAAAAGTAGCTGATTTGTTCTACAATCCAGGTATGAATGCATTATGAAGAAAAGTTTTTTGTAAATTACCTTAATATCATTTTTCAAAAATACTATAAATATCACAACGCAAAAAAAAATTAATTCAACAGCATGTGAGAGAAAATTTTTTATACAATGTATGTTAAAAAAAATGTATATATATATATATATATATATGTATATAGACATTCTTTATAATAATAAACTTTAATTAATCAATATTTATATAAAATAAAGTCATTTTTTATAGGAGTGTAAATTATTATACAACTAATTAAAAATAAATTTATGTATATTTCTGGGTCTGTTTGAATTAAGTTAGTATAACAATAGATAAGTTGCCGGTGGGCTCTAATCATATAATAAATATAGGTTTTTACAGTTTTACAAGGCTTCATACATAGTTATGATAACTAATTCATTTTTTATTTTTTTTCATTTTGTCGCGAAGGAAGGTTACCTTAGACATTTTATCGTTAATCCAACAATATACAGCTAAATTGGAGTAGTTATTACTTTAGCGAACAAAAGGACAAAACATCAAAGATAGATTAATCAGAATTCAGTTTAATGAACTGTAATAATGATTAAACAAACGATTTTTAACTTATTCTAATTATTTAATATTTGTGTATTGTATATTTTCGGTGCAATATTTTAAAATAAATATTATTATTACTAAAACTGTCATATTATAATAACCAAATTTGTCTATTTTCTTTGTATAAATGACTATTTTAACTTGTGAAGAGTTATTTACGTTAATGTTACAACGTAATCAAAGAGGTGTTATTACACTTTTTCAAATTGATAGACATTTTGAGATTGAACATTTTTATTTGAGTAAAAGACATAAATATACTACGTACATCGTTTGTTTGATCGGTCATATATATCAATTCTATTTATTTTGCTAAAAAACACTTAACCAGGTAAAGTGTTAAAATATTTGGTATAAATTTATCTTTTATTTTATTAAAACTCAAATGATATAATTAATTAAATATTGAAATATTTATTAAGTTGTTTTAAAAATATTTACAATCTAGCTTATAACATGTAATTTAATTTTTAAATTAAAATCAATGATTTTGGTCTGATATAGGCAAATGCAAAAATAATAAGTGGTATCTATATTTCTTTAAGTAACATAATTATAATTATTTCAATCAATGAATAGAATTTTATTTACCGAAATTTCATAATATAATCTTTTAAAACTTTTAGCTACTCTAAACTCTATTAAATTTTCTAGATTCATATGGGCTTCAATCACTTGATATTGATGATCGTTATAAGAGAAATTCCTATCACTTTGCGTCTCCAGTAAAAAGGAGGTAAGTACTTTTGTGGGTTCTTAACATTATTGAATAATGCATAGAATGTATTTGAAATACATATTTATGAAGGGTTTAGGTTCTTGATAAATATTCTTTATTTACAGTAAATAGTTTCTTTTAAATTCCATCTGATAAATTACTTATTTTTACTCTTTCAATTTATTTATAAAGTCGAAGCAGTAAATCTGAAATTCGCTTTTACACTTTATTCTAGAATACCAAATTTAATTTACATTATATCTTTTTAATTAGCGCTTCAAAAGGTTTTCAATCATACTTAGATAGTGGACGAGCTAAACGTGATTTAGATGTTGACCCAGAAGAAGCATTGATGGCTTTATTGGCGCTTTGGGAAGCCGAAAGAAGACAAAAAAATCATGAACAATCAAGGTATATTACCCGAAAAAATGTATATATAAAATAATAATTTTTACCAAATATATTATTTGTTGCTTTTTATTTCAACTTATTTACTGTACTTACAGTGGTATACCCTTTTAAGAGAGCGATATGGATGATTAAAATATTTTAATTGTAAAATTATTGTCTTAAATTATTGCTCAAATAATATATTATCTTTCACTTCATAAATTATAGAAGTAAAGCTAATTTATATTATTAATATAATTAGTTTTTCCTTAATTAAATAAACTATTTTGAAATGTAAATTTATAAAACATATTAATCATATGACAAAAAACATAATTGAGTTTGATTAATAAAAACTTTCAATATTCTTTTTGATCAATTGAAATTTAATTTAGAGGTTCTAGGCAACATTATGGTCATTTGAACGAATTTGATCAAGATCCGTACCTTGACAGTGAAGTAACCGATGAAGAAAATGAAGAAATTCCCGGTATATAAAAATAATATTTTAAATTAGTGGTATAATTTTTTTAACATTAAATATATATTTTAAATTTATGCATTTGTAAAAAAATAAATGTGAACAGCGTCACAATTTTAACATTTTTCTAATGGGAATTTTCACAAATAATATGTACTTCAGGTGTATTTTATTATGTATCTGTGCTTTAAATGGTCCAGATTCCGTGGACAACCCTGTAAATCTGTATTAAAATTAAATTTTTCTGAAGTCTATTATGTTAATAGTTCAACTGTAATTTGTAAATTAATTATATATATTTAAAAAAAAATTTTATGATAATTTGAAATGTATTTTTAGACGGCTGGCTAGAGGGCCCAGTAGTACCTGCGCCAGTTTATGCTAACCCAAATAAATATTATGGAAATAATGCATTTCTACGTAAGCAAAGACAAGCACAACGTGGAATTAGGGTATGTATTCATAAGAAACAATAGTATATTCATGTAAGAACGTAGGATGATTATTTTCAGGGGCTGAGTCATTTCCAAGAAGAACCTCAGTACTATAGAATGGCAGATTACTATCGTCATTTCAATTTTTAAAAATAAAAAAAAGAAGTGTAATTTTTTTCACACCTATAGTGGTATTTATACTTGACATCAACATAATATTAATTCATACAAAAAATATAATAATTTATTGTGTAATGAAATTATTTAAGTGAAAATTTATCAATAATATTGAAATTATTATGCATTTTAACTTAATAAAAATTATATTATGTTAAATTTTACGATGTTTAATGATAGTTTAAGACTATACTATACGATTTTAACTGTGTTACCAAAAACATTATTTTATTTATTATAATTTGTAATTGAATGTCTGCGTAATAATTTTATAATCCCTAAAAAGAACTTTTGAAAATTAGCTTACAAAAGTACATCACTATACATTTATAAACATTTTTATTAATACAAGATCCATCTTGTAAAAATCATGTTTACTTATGTGACCTTGCTTTTTACAAATTTTATATTCATAAAAGATAAATAAACAAAACTTATTAACACTTATTTTAATTAAATAAGATGTTTTTAAAAATAAATGTCTGAAACAAAAAAAAAAAGTAAGATAATCATCTCGTTATCTCAACTATTTGAAATTTACCTCATGATTTGACAAGATTTTTACACTAGCTGTTGATTTATCGCAACTTCATTATGCATGAGGAAGCCGGAAAGTGGCTCCCTCAGCCATACTAAGGTAAGATAGCCCGATAAAAAAAGTTAATGAGAAGTTATTTGAAAATCTGTTATTATTATATGACATACTATTTTTAGACGATGTACAAGAGAAGGAAAAAAAATAAATCATTTATTTAGATTTATTCTAATATGATTTTTTAGTTTAAAAGTAAATTTTTAAAGTAAAATTATATTATAATTTAAATTTTCAAGATATTGTTTGAGTAATAGTTAAACAATCACTCTATATTTCAACTTATAACATATGCGCAAATAGGAGATGGTTTGAATACTTCATGTTTCCGTCGTGATTATAAAATTATAGTTGTTTAAAAATATTTTTAATGAAAGGGAAACTGTTTAGAATCCACAATTATAATTTCAGTTTTTTTGAAAGGAACAAGAAAAACATTTATATTGCCTTTTTATAATATTTATTTATTATTTTATTTTTATAATAATTTTCTTTTTTTCTAATTTAATTTGCGCAATGTAAGTTGACATAAATATCGTACTATAGCATTTTTATTGAATAGGTTTCAATTATTTAAACAATGTTGTTATAATTATATTGTATCATTTAAATTTGATTTAAAGAAAAGTGAGATCATGTCTTAAGCAATTTACAAATATATGGGTTGAATTAGAGCTTACAGTAATACAAAAATGTACAACATTATAATTTGTCAATACATTTTTCAAAAAATGTAAATTAAAATGTTTAGATATATGTATAAGTGATTAAAACCATATATAGTTTATAAAAGACTCTACTTTTAGAACTCAATTAAAAATAAATTAATATTTAATACAAGATTAAGTTTTAATAAAAAATTTTTATATGAATATAAAAAAATTAAATATTTAATAAATGTTTAAGATACTCTTATGAATTGATTAACCATGGTTTTATTATAATTTTTAATAATTATTATACAAAAACGAGTTACAACTCTTAAGTTAACTTTTTTTATTATAGTTGAGTTTTGAAAATGTTCGTATATTGAATTTACATGAACAACACATTAAATGAAAGTGTGGGTTATATCTTACAACACACAATTATTTAAATGGCGGTAGACTTTTATTAAACAAAATTATAACACTAAAATAGACGTATAAACACTAAAAGAAAATATATGTATATACAGTAAGGAAAAATAAAATAATCGAAGTAAACATAATACACGATGACAACAGCGGCGGGGTGTAGCGGTCGTGTAGCGTATCGCGGACTAGACAGTCTGAACTGAACTAACTGAACTGACTGATTCTTCCGATATATATATAGCTCCGATAAGGCTCTCGCTAATTCTAGAATATTCTATACCCGCGTTGGTTATCTTATGCGTTATCGAAGTTTCTCGAAGGTTTTTGATAACGAGAACATTCGAGAATATTCGTTGCGTATGTTTTGGTCGCTACAAAAGCTTATTGCCTCTAGTGTATTTTATTAGTATCGGTGTTTAAAAGAAGTTATAGCAGTTTTAAAATGCAGATTTGCTATTTTTGAAAATGCCTTTTTTACAACTGTGTAATTTTCAGTTTTTCATGTTAAATTTTTAAAATTGATAGTTTTTATAACTAGGTTATATATGTTGTTCATTTATAGGCAAACAATATAAATTCTAGTAAATTAATAAATAAATTTTTTTTAAAATTAAACATTTACATTTTTAAAAATTTCCCAGAAAAATTCTGTTAGATGAATTATGTTCCAACTAGTTTTATGATATTACTTTTTGATATATTAGCTTTTAAAAATTTAGAAAAAGTACGGTTAAAGTTTAAATAGAGGTAAAATCTACCCTTAGCAAAATTTTTTTTTGCAATAAACTTTACATTAACAATGGATTATAAAAATAAATTAAATTATAATCTATACATTTCTATAAAAAAAAATTACATTGTATAACATATAATATGATTTACATCTAAACTTAAACACGATGAAAATTTGAATTTGGAAAAAAATTGTTTTGGTAGCTCAATGTGTTTAAGATAGTTAACCATAAATACTCCCTAAAAAATTAACTTATTACATAACATTTTTGATTAAATAATATAAATAGCTTTTTTAACATATTTTAAAACTTCAAATAAATAATTGATTATGTGATTACCAAAAAAGTGTAACAGGGTGACTGGAGCAAGATAATATTGAATTAAAAAAAGACAGTACTGTTGGCAAACTTATTTGGAAATAATTTTAAATATATTAATTAACAATGACAAATAAATACATATGTTTGTTTTAAATCGCTCATATACCATAAATGAGAAAACGATATAATATTTATGTTTTACGACGTAAGGTTTTAACTTGGATATGAATAAAAGAAGTATTATTTGTACAATAAAGTGGCATAAAGGTAACTTTAACACACATTTACGTTGGGTTGTCTTCAGCCGTGCGGCTGATGATTACAAGTGCTTGATGTACACGTGATGATAATTAGTCGAATTAATATTTATTCATAAAAGTAGGGATGACAAATGTTGGGCAGGGCGCAGGAGCTTTGTGCTTTGTGAGTGACGTGGAACTGTGTCAAATTTATTACAATGTTAGGCTTCTATGATTATTCTGCAAATAGATTTAAAATCTGAAATGTTCATAGTGTTTCTTCAATATTTTGACTAATACCATCTTTTTTTCATTTTTTCTTTTTAATATAAGTGAAAAGATATAGTTTTTCCTAAAAATTTTATTTGCGTTTTTTTTTATCTATGGGTCAAGATAATGAAAAATATTTAAAAAAAAATTACCTCTTATGAATTATTAGGTACTAAGTATTACTCATAGAATATTTAAGTGAGAAAGATACATTTTTTTTATTAGGTACAAATACAATAACTGTACTAATTAGTTACTAATTAAAATGCTTAGTTAATTCCTTTATTTTTTTTAGTTTTTCATTCAAACCACCGTTAAAAAGTTTTACTTCCCTCGTGCGTTTAAAATCAGACACACGCATTTTATTTGTACGCAGATTTTTGAAAAATGATGTCTTTTTAAACAAAAGAATAAAAAGATATATTTATTTATTTTAGTACTGAATAACAGTAGAATGTGCACATACAATACACATATTTTTCTATTGCTATGAATAGTATGTACATTTAGATAGTGTTTATTTGTAGCAACTAGTGTGCATTAAAGATTGATATCAATGTTTCAAAAAGAAACTTCATTATAATTACTAACATATTTTTATTCACTATAAACTTTTTTGGTGAGTGGATTTTTAAAGAAATTTTTGGGTAATATCACCAATAAACGATCACTACTTGTGACGAACACACCACTGACTATGATTTTACAATTTGATTGTAACAAAATTTTGTTGATTTTATAATCATTAAATATCTATGTAATTTGTAGAACGATTTTACAATTTTCAATTCAATAAAATCAAATGTTTAATTAATAAAAATTCTAATTTTAAATCAGGAATTGAAAACTTTATTTTTGCAAAAATTACATTTTGCTTAGTATAACCATTAGTATTGATTATTGTGGTTTATAATAATATGAAATATTAAAATTACGCTACCGTGTAAAATAAAATTATAAAAGAATTTTTTGCATTTTAAAATTAATGTTATTTTCATTTTTTTAAAGACTGATCTTTCTTTTTTTTTTCCTCCCCATTATCCCAACTACTTGGCGTCTGCCACTCTTATTTTAAACTTTTGTCACGATCATCCACATCATCTACGCACACATTAGCCATATTATCTATTAATATATTCATGGTATTTATAAATCAGCCGCGCTGACGTACGACCACTTCCAGGATCACTCGGAAGAGGCAGAAGGCCAGAAGTAGGACTATTTGAAGTCTCGACTTAGGTTCCCATCATCTGAACACCCAACTCGTGGAGTTGATTAAATAATATAAATAGCTTTTTTAACTTATTTTAAAACTTCAAATGAATAATTGATTATGTGATTAACTCGTGGAGTTGGGTGTCCATATGTTGGGAATCCGGGAGGCTTGGAGACTTGTCCAGACGTTTACTGAATCTGCCTTGAAAAAAAGGAGGAAGCGGAACGCCTGAGACAGAGGCAGCCACACTGCCCGGTTTTTTTGTTGTGTTGTGATTTATTCTTGTCGGCCCCCGCGAAGTCTTTGCCCCACCTCCACGTGGTGTAATCCGGGCAATGGATCCCATTATATGATCCGGCAACAGGGGAGGTCACGCCATGATAAGACTCATCTTCTAATTAATTTCGGGCTGAGTCCGAACTATAACACGGCGGTGTGAATTTTATTACGGCGTTGATCGCCCTGAAGTAATGCCTCATAATAGTTCCGGATAATTTCGACCGTTAAAAAAAAATTTTGTCAGTGGAAATGGCTTTGTTACTACCACTTTCTGATATAGCAGTACCAAACCCCAGATGGGCTGCAGGAGCTAGCCTCATCACTACTGTATTTCTCGCGTATTCACTTGATTTCGACACCTGGTTGGTACACTCTTTACCAACCGCCGGCACGAAGATATCCGATTCCTCTGTTGCACTAACTTTTCCTTTAAACATTCCATTCTTATATATATTTGATTGTGATGGGATTGCCCTCATAGCTTGTCTTTCGGACCACTGAGCGGCCAAATTCACGCGTTGAGTTA